CCCCCCCGCCGCCACCGAAAGGGGTGTCTTCCCGCTGACGTCACTGTGTGAAGAAGGGGGTCTCTGAGTGACGTCAAAGGCGGCGGCAAGGAGATCCCGAGGGGGGGCGGGCGAGGGCCAGCGGGGCCCGTCCCGGGGAGCAACAGGCGGGGGAGCACGGGAGCGCAACCCCGTCCCGGGGCGCAGGGCGCGGAGCCGCCGCGTGGGGGCGCGGCGGGTGGTGCTCGCTCCCGTCCCGTCTGCCCGCCCCCCCCGTCCCGTCCGCCCGCCCCTCCCGTCCCGGCTCGTCCCGGCTGGTCGCCGTTCAGGCCGGCGGAGCAGCGCGCAGCAGGTAGGGCAGCTCGCCTCGCCCCACCCCGCGCCCCCGAGTCCCGCGTGGGGCCCCTGGCGGTCCCACCCCCCCCGTTCTCCCGACTCCCCGCCGCCCGGTTTGCCTCCCCACCCCCCTGTCCCTGCGCCCTCCTGTGCCACGGCCGGCCAGGGGCTGTCCCACCGCTCTCCCGACCGTCCCGGAGGTCGGCGGGGACCGGGCGAGAGTGGGCGGCCGGTCACCAAACAGCGGGGACGCGCTGCAACCCCCCGCCCCCCCGTCCTCGGAGTGGGTGGGGGCACGTCCCGTTGAGGTCCAGCGGCGGGGGGATCGGGTCAGAGGGCGTTCCTGCGAGCAGGGACGGCCGCGGGACAGGACCCCCACGCGCGGGGTCCCCCTGTGGCGTTGGTGCTGTTTTCCGAACCCCGCGGGATCGCGTGGCGGGGAACCGGGGCGTGGGGTGGGGTGGTCCGTGGGGGGGCATCGACTCTAGTTCTGTGGAGGGTGTCCCCACGGACCCCGTGGGGTATGTCGGGAGGGGAGGGCAAGGGTTTGTGCCTGTCAGGGTGGGGGGTGGCACCGAGGGTGGTGTGGGGACAGGCACTGGGTGCTGTGGGGGTGCCTGGGCTGGGGCACAGAAGGACACCCCTGTCCCATGCCCTGCCCTCAGGAGGGGGCTCCGAGCGGGGCAGAGATGCAGTGGTGGTGAGGCTGAGCTCCAGCAAACTTCTATCCTGTGTGAGTGGCATGGGGACATCCGGCCTGGGTGGGCCACATTGACCTGCTCGCTTGAGCTGAGCTGGGCTGTGCTAGGCTAGGCCAGGGTAATTTCTGCTGTGCTGGGTTGGGTTGTGCTGTGCCAAGCTGTGCCATGCTGCATGCAGCAGCTGTGCTGTGTTGTGCCACACCAGGCTGTGCCATGCCATGCCAGGCTGTGCCATGCCGTGCCAGGCTGTGCTGTACCAAGCCATGCCATTCTGGTGGGGGCTTCCAGGCTCTTCTAGAGTAAGGTAGTTTCTCAGGCAGCCTCAGTGTGGGGAGCCCTGGCTCCCACCCCAAACCACGGTCCCTTCCCAAAGTGGGCCTTGTTGCCCCAGGAAGCCTGTGGAGCTGGTGGTGGGAGGCTGAACCCAGCAGGAATACCAGGGACAGTGGTGGGGACACTACCTCGTTCCGCCCACAGGGCCATGACAAGGGGTGACAGTTCCGGTACCCCATATCCCTGCCATATGTGCCTTATCTGTGCTGAGTCAGGGTGCCAGTGCAGAGCAGCACCCTGTCCCCAGGACTGCGTGTCACAGCAGGGTCACCAAACTGTCCCACGTAGCCATTTGGTGGCCTCTCATTTCAGAGCACTGATACGCCACGAACTGAGGAGGGTTCAGAGAGCTGCCTGCTTCCCTGGGTGCGGCGGCCGCAGGGACCCGTCAGGCTTGTTCCTTCCCTGTGCCCAAGGCCACCCCGATGGGGTGGGAGCAGGAGGGGCTGGGGCAGTCAGTGGACCTCTGCCACGGAGTGCTGGCCACAGGCACAGGGTAGGACCCCTCCAGTGACCACCTGCTGGCCGGATACACCCCATTTTCCCCAGACATCTAGGTTCCCTCCTGGGGACTCTGGTCCCCCTGTAACTGAGTGCCAGTCATGGGGACTTTCCTGGGGTCAAACTCCTATTTTGGGCCATTCCGTGGCCCCACAGGTGAGGTGGTGCCATGGGACACCGTGTGCTTTTCTATGAAACTACAGGGAAGTGGAGAAAGTGAGCTTCCTGTTCGGGTGGTCACTGCCACATGGGTTATTTATTTTCAGCGCTATCGTCATCATGATGCCAAAGGGCGGTACGACCATGGCAGCTCTGCCAGGGCTGGGGCAGACGGATGGCAGGGGGGATGGAGGGACAGACAGTGAACCACTCACTACTCCCCCTGGCCTGTCATGAGTGTGCCCCCCAGCACTGCTGCCTGTCCAGCCCGGCTGTGGGAAACACTGGCGTCACACAGGAGGAAGTGCCTGATCTCCTCCCAGCCTCGTCCTGGTTGGGATCAGATCCTGGTTCCTTCCTCGGGATGGTCCCAGAATCACGTCATCGCTGCAGGCAGGGGGGATGTGGCGAGTGTTGGCACCTGCCTGGGGTCTGGAGTGCCAGCACTCTGGGGGTGGCAGGTGGGTAAAGGCCTGGCACCATCTTCTGGCAGCGCTGTTGTTTTCCTGGCCTTGGAGATCCTGCTTTCCTTCTCCTCCTCCTCCTGCTGAGGCCAAGCCCAGCAGCTGGCCCTGAGCCCAGGCTGCCTGCTCACAGCTGCCGGGGGCTCTGTGAGGGGGCCTGGTGCGGCCAGGGAGGGGAGCTAAACCCTGGCAGGGTCACGACTCCCCTCGCCAAGGAAGAGTCCATCTTCTGCAGAGGTGATGCTTATGTCACTTGTTCTTATACTTGTCTCTTGTCCCCTCCCTGAAGGGACTCAGGAGTTCTGGAGCCTCTGTGTGACCCACTGAGCTGTTGGGTGGGGAACACTCCTGAAATGAGGGGGACAGTGGGAGTCTGCATGGCTGTGATGAGGATCAGGCCCTGTGTTTCTATCTCAGGCAGTGGATAGAATGATGTCGTTTGTCCCCAGACTGGTGCTACTAAGAGCCACACACTGGCATGTGGGAGGGCTTTTTCCTGCCCTCCAGCAATGGCAGGGTGGGCTCCAAAAGCCAGAGAGGTCAAATCCGTTTTGGAAAGGTCATGTCCCTGACGCAGCTTGAGTCAGCGTGTGGCTGTGCCCTGCCCGTGGCTGACCATGACGCAGGCACTGGGGACTAAGGGCACAGGAATGTGGGTGGCCCCGGCCAAGGGACAGTGGGGACATCCCTCACCTCTCATTGACCCGCTGGCATCGAGGCCAACTTGTTGTCATTAATTAGGAGCCACTATTGAAGTGGGAGGGGCAGGTTTTGTGGCTGCACGGTCCCCTGTGTCCCTACACCTGTGGCTCCACTCACCAGGAGCACGTCCTGCCTGAGGAGGGGGACCTGTGCTGACACCCCCCATCTTCTCTCCCCTCCAGGTGCCTGTGGGAGACACAGGGAGCCGGCATGTCCCAGCCCAGTGCACCCCCAGCTTACGATGACAAGAACCCCCTCTACCCCCCACCCCCAGGGGGGTACCCCCAGCCCTATCACTACCCTGGGGGGTACCCACAGCCGGGGGGATACCCCCCAGCGGCAGGGTACGGGCAGCCAGGGGGCTACCCAGCAGCAGGGGGGTACTCTCATCCAGGGATGGCCATTCCCACCATGCCTGTTCGCTTCGGTAAGTGGCAGCACCTTGTTTTTTGTGGGGGGAAGGCACTAGAAACAGAGGTGCTGTGAGGGGCTGTGCAGCTGAACCTGGTGCTGAGGAGTGTCCACCACCACAGGTGGCGATGGCATCGGGGGTGGCTCCCCCTTCCAATCAGTTGATTGGGACGACAGGAAAGTCCGGCACACCTTCATCCGCAAGGTGAGTCCAGAGGGGCTGGGGGCATCTGTCAGGGTGGGGCAGCACCTGTCAGGGCAAGGGTCCAGATGCTGACCCCTCTGTCTCTTGCAGGTCTATGCCATCATCTCCCTGCAGCTGTTGGTGACAGTGGGAATCATCTCTGTGTTCACCTTTGTGTGAGT